ATTGATAGATATAAAAGTTTATTTTCTACCAAAAATATTAGTGCGTATTAATCTAATAGATTTAAAAAAAAAAAAACTATCGCCAGGTGCAATCAGAGTTAAATCCAACAAACAAATACGTTCAATAAATAAAATTACATACGATGTAGTTTGATTATTCAATTTCTAAATTTAAATTTACTTTTATAATAATATAATGCATTATAAATTATAACATAATATTTAAGCCACTACAAGTATTTTCGTGGCACATCAAAATGCATTATTGCTGTGCATTTTCCCATTTTTAGATAAACTTCGTGTTATTTTATAAAATATCTTATAGAAATTACTAATGAGTAATGAATATTAAAATAAACACACAGAAAAAAATTTCGTCAAAATAATAATCATTTAAGAGGATGTCGTACACTAAAGTTTAATCACGCCTTTATTATGGAATAAAAGAAGATTTTAAGTTTTAAATAATCTATGTTTACATAGATATTTTTAATATGATAATGAATTGACAAAATATTGAATTTAAAGGTAAGAACATTATCTAAAACCTCAGGTAAGCTTTTTTGATATTTTAATGTTGTAGCAAATTATGAGTATTTGAAAATTAACAATATACCTATAAGGATCATAATAATATTATACATTATATTTACGACAGAAATGTTTTTCGAAAAAAAAGTTTTAATAAAACTATAATATTTCATTTGTCGTATTTATTAATACTTTGCGGATTTGTCTGTTAAATATAATTACTTAAAATTGGTAAGTGCACGATATTGGATCAGAAGAAAATATGTAACGAGTTATAGTATATTAAGTTATAATTTCTAATTAACCTCGGTGTTTTTAGTGAAATTGACATTTCAAATTATACAAGTCTAACCATGTTTTATAGCTCCAAATAAATACTATCTTTACCAACAAGTACAATAAGGAAAACAAATTTTATTATTTTCGTGCGATCCAGCCCAAGTTACATTCAATTACATAAATAATAAAATATAACATACCATTATTATTATACTACCGTAGGCATTGAATTCAATAACTTAATTAGAGCTCATTCATAATTTTAACGACTCATTGTTTAAAGATGTAAATGTTATGTATTTAAACAACATTGAAGAGTATATGGATTAAATAATTATGCGATGGATATTTTTAATTAATATAAAATGACGTACTAACAATAAAAAATATGATGTAACAACATTTTTATAAAACATGATTTACAGAAGTTTATTATACTGAACGTTGTTTTACAGTGGCTATATTATTATTTATTTAAAAAAATATGCATTTATTCGAAAAATAATACCTAAACCAGTCGTAATAATGGCAATCGTAAAACGCAAACTTCTGAACTCGCTTTTTAAAAACTGTTCTTATATAACAGAATACGAAAATTAAAATACATAGATATACATATCCCTCATGTATAATATTAAAGACAAACCGAAAATATTAACCAGACTACCTACATACGCAGCTGAGACTCAATACAGATAAAAGGTAGGTATTTTTGTATATTTACATAATAATCATTTATTGTTTAGGTATTATTATTTCCGAAACTATAAAAGAGTACAGGGAAAATGTAATATGATATGCATTATTCACAAACGATTACGATTGGTTAACAGTGAAAAAACCATGAAAAACGTCTAATCACGTTTTCCGCGTCGGAAGCGAGATTGAACACACATTTATACCATACCTACCTATTCATAAATACACATCAGACATACTCGTACATAAGAATTATTTTGTGTATTCTCATGATTTTTGGAATATTTTTTTATTAATTTTTTTTTTTTTTAATTTTGAACGGATACAACAAATACCAACCTACTAGTACTTATCGCCAATACATACATATTATATACATATATTTAGATATATATTACCGAAAACTATTATCTCTCGTAACTACTATTATTACGATTGGTGGGCGTGCACTAGAAAAGAATAGAAACAAAAAAAAAAAAAAAAACAAAAACCCAAAATGAAATATGGAAGTGGCCGAACGCCACGATGGTGAGGGGGTGGGGCACACACTTTGTGCGCGCGTTCACCTTGGCGCGTTCGTAGCCGCCGTCTAAGTAGACGGCCGAGTCTAGGCGGGGGAATATCACGAGGCATCGGACGGCCGTGATCTCGAGCAGATTAACATTAAACACCGAACCCTCCTTCGCCTATACACCACTTCCATCTCCTCCACCGCCAGATTCGGAGTACCGACCGAAGGCATACCGGGGTGAGGTGGAGATTCCCGCGATCCCGAGAGACACGCGAGAGTAACCATCGCCGCACGTAATGACCATCGACCGTTGTCGTAGAAAATTACACCGTGCAAGAATACAAGTACTCACACACACACACACACACACACACACACACGCGCACACACATACACACATACATTTACATACATTTATATATTACGTACGGACGAAAATTACCGGTTACCCGGTAATGTGTATGGCGATCTAGAGGATGCGGTAGAGAACATATAGGTAACTGCCGGTGGTGCTAGTGGCGACGGTGACGACGGTCACGGCGGAAGACGAGGACACGACACGGCGGCAACGACGACGAATTGAATTCGTGCGGCGCGTTTCGGACAGATATAATATTCTATGGACGTATATAATAATTTATTATGGCTTATGAGCGCATATGAGAACAGAATGAACAGCCGGCGACTACGACGATGGTGGTGGTGGAGACGCGGTATCTGCAAATATCGTTTGTGTTGGACCTCATGTCTGTATGATTTGTTTTTATTCTGTTAACACTTGGTTAAGGTCTTAGGGGGAATATAATATGACGATAAAACGAAAAACACAAAATAAAAATAATAACAATTAATATACTGAAAAGAGACTTGCCGATGGAGACGACTGAATTGGATTTGGTTTAACCCCGACCACAGTGAACCGATTTCGTTTAAATTTTAAAAACATCAACTTCGTATGTGTCATGGGAGGGCAATTTTTTTTTTTTTTACATACATACTTGTAATATACACCTACTTATTACAACTAATTTTTTAACTAAGCTCGCTAAACCACCAACCACACGCGATTTGTCAAACTTTACGCTATACCTACATAATAAATAATATAATTACGATATAGTATAGTGGTATATCGCTTATCCGATCAACTCTCGTTGCTACCCCTGCAAATTTAAAATTATCAAGTGATTTAAAAAAAAAATAAAAATATGTACACGACATTAGAAAATATGTATAACTACAGGATTACTCTACACCGTTTATTTAAGTACACCTACCTATATAATGACATAATATTATGACAATGCTACCGCTATCGGTCAAGCAATTCATTATAGAGACACTTCAGGAGATAGCAAACGTTACATTTGAAACATATATAATATACAGGGTGGTTCACACCGTAATTTTCCGTTTTATCTTGTCAGGTAAACGAAAAAAAACGAAACACGATGAATAACTGCACTAATACATATTATAAATATAAATATATATATATAATAACATAAATTTAATAAATAATACATCAACCCGCAGAATATTTACAAATACGATAATAATCGAAGAGATTTAATATTAAATATTGAACGAACAATAATACGAGAATACACTATTATACACGTAGTTTTATTACGCAAATATTCTCGAAAGGTGTGGAATTTCAATTCAATTTCAAAAAGAGGCAGAAGAATCGTTTCAACATTATATTGTTATATTAAACTAATAACGAAATAACTATAAAGTCGAATAATCGTTTTAATAACAATTGAATTATGACCGTGCAATTTCTACTAAACAGATATAATTTTTTATTTTATTTTTTAATTAAAGCATGAGCGTTCACAAATTTATTGACGAGTTTCAATACTTGATGTTTATCAACTTTGAACGTTTTTAACGCATAAACTCGAAAATAATGTTGAATTATAGTACGTGCTTATTGTTTGACAACAAAACCGAGTGCATATAAAATAAAAATCACTTATTTTTTAATACTTTTGTTGACATGTATAATAAAATATAAAAATACCACCATAATAATAATACGCAATGTATTATTGAACATAATTGATGGGATCCTGCAAAATAAGTTCGAATTCCCACACAACAACAGCAGCAATTTTACGCCAAAATTTCGATTCCGGGGTAATAAAAAATGTACGACGACCGAGTAGGTACGTGCGGTTTTTGCGATTCGGCCGCAAAAAGTGCAGTTCCGAGGGCTTATTGAAAATACAAAATTCATGAATGTCGAGCACGCGTATAAATGTTACCGCAGTTCTACCAAGTTGTTGTAAGGTCGAGTGACGAAAAAAAAAGAATGCGGCCAAGTAAATATTTACGAATTTAAAAGAGGCGGATTTCCTCGTCAATCATCCGGCGAAATATATATCCGACAGCATCCTGCAAGTGAAACGAACGAACGGAAAGCAAACTCAAGCAAAACTCTAACTAACCAAAAATTTCCAATTTCTATCAGTGTTGTACATGTTACAATATGCGTGCGCGTAAGCGCGTACGAAATATCAAATTATAATACAACGATTTCCGATACAATCGAGTAAGCAATAATAATAACTATTAAACAATAAACAATAATATTAAGCTCTTACGCATCAACGTCGTAACCGTAAACTTACATCAAGTACGGTATGTATGTATATATATATATATATATGTGTGTGTATGTATATTACGGAACACGGTTTAGGGATTTCAAAACTTCTCTCGGAGTACAAACAATATGCCGTTTGCGGGGAGGGAAAGTGATTGACGACGGGCTGCAGCAAGTCAAGCGGCGGGCAAACGACGGACGGACAGGGCGCGCGTCGATTTTCTGTCCCGAATGAGCTGGTAGGACGACGACGGCGCGAAGGGTGTCAATAAAAACGCGCGATAACAAGTCAATCACTGCAAGTGTACACATCATAGGTAGGTGTTATTATATTACGCGGCGCGCAATCGTCGCGCGGACACTCACCATTTCCACGTCGTCCTGCACGGCGTCCGCTGCCGGCGTGGCGATAGTGGCCGTCGGTGGTGCCGTCGTGACGGTTTCCGCGTACTGCAGTGGCGCCGGTCGCTGGAGCTGCAGCGGCTGGTGGTGGTGTTGGTGGTGATACGTGTTGTTGGCCTGCAAGTGGTACACCGGGCCACCGACGTGCGGCGTCTTCGGTTGCGGCGTCACGGCGACGGCCAACTGATACTGATGGTGCAACGGTTGCGGCGGCGGCGGCGGCGGCTGATGGTGCTGGTGCTGGTGTTGGTGCTGATAAACGTGGTGGTACGCTGTGGCAGTGGCTGTGGCGGCGGCGGCGGCGGCAGTGGTGCAGGCGGCGGCGGGCGAGCAACAGTGCGCGCAACAAGTCCGCAACGGCGGCGGCTGCTGCTCGGGGCTGCATGCGCAGTGCCCCGGGTACGTGTAGCAGTACGTGATTGCTGATGGCGCGTCGACCGGGCCCGGCGGCAAACACGGTGACGGCGGCGGAGGCAACGTAGGGTACGCGGACTTAGACCGGCCGGTCAACCGGACGATCGCATCGGCGTCTGCGGCTGTGTGTCGGGACGACGACGGCGTGCGTGTAAGCGAGCACACCGTACGGTAAACAGCGGTCGAGGAGAAGACGCACCTGTCTGTCTGTCTGTCTGTGGTCGTCGACGTTCCAAAGGTTTTGCCGGGGACGACCGAGTCGTGTGAAGTCAGTGCTCTTCGACGCGTGTCAGCTTGTAGTAACGTGTGTGTGACGTTTGTCTGCAGTTCGTGTTCGAGTGCGTGTGCGTAGAGCTGGCCGTCCGTCGGGTTTGTTGCTCTGCGTGCGCGTGGACAGAAAACGAGAGACGAGAGGGAAAAAGAGTAAAATATAAACGACGAAAAAAATTATAAAAAAAGTGCGATCCAGAGTCGCATCGGTACCGGATCTTCTCCGCTACCTCCGACGCACCTACACTACTTTCTCTTTTCGTC